GAGTATTCAGATTGCAGAATCCAAATTTTACTATGGGCAAAATAAAATAATAGATAACAAAGGAACAAAACACCTGACATTTAAAAGTTTTCCCCCCCTCCTTGCAACTTGGGATTGAACTTGGGGAACTTTAACACCAAGCTACATCTCCTACTGTTTTTATATTTGAAGAGAGAATCACACTATGTTGCTTGTGTGTTTATGATCCTTTTGCTTCAGCCTCCTGAGTAGCTGGAATTAAAGACATTTCAGAGGTTGATAATGGGCAACATTAATAATCAAACATCATTATTGATAATGGGCAACATCAATATTGCATAGAGGTAGTACACAACTACCTCTATGGCTGACTTTCTCAATCCCTAACTATTTCAAATTATTATATTTATATAAATGGTGATTTTTTTTAAATTTAGGGCGGGACACTCCTCAGATTATGTTCACATTCATTTTCTATATGGTATTATTTTTCTGAAATATAATCAATGCCTCATGATCTTGAATTAAAACTGATCCATGAAAAAATCTCTGTGGAATATATTTGAGAGAAAGAAGTTACAGTGTGGATTTTACTGTCACATTTTTTGTCCCAATGATCCAAGGAGAAGTAGTATTTATCATTAGGAGCTCTAAGAGCATCCATAAAACTTATAGACTCCTTCACAAATTTGCTTCTTAACAATTCATTTGGGCCAAGCAAACTCTGCTTTGTAGTGGGTTTATAACTTGGCCCTCTAGAGTCACAGCCTTAGCTGCTGCTAACATAAATCAGTAAGATTCCAGGCAGGGCTCACCCATCCACTGTGTAAAGTGACTAGGGCCTTAAAATACATTATGGTCCTACAGAATTGTTTTAATTTCTTTTGAAACTGAAAGAAAAAAAATAATTATCATGCATAATATAACACCTGTTATATTATATCAGCATATTTTATAAAACCATAGTGTTTGACAATAATTTTTAATTTAATGTATTGATTAAGTTTTTAGCTAAGGAATGAGTACCTTAAGGCAAAATAATGCCAAAGGATCAGGTGGGTTTCTGCTAGGGGCAGAGGGCCACAGTATGTGTTCTAATTCCCCAGGCTCAGGAAGGCTCAGTCTTTGACAAGTAGCACAGAGGGAGGCCAAGTGCTTTGGTCTTAGCTGGTGAATGCACCAGGAAGAGGAGTTATCTTCTGACTTGACCTCCACTTAACCCTTACTATGACACATTTACTTGTCTTAAGTAATGTTTTAATTATTTAAAAGTTTCTCATTGAATAATCTTTAGTAACTTTTATATCCATTCATAATTTAATAAAGTTCTTATATAATTATCTTTGATATCATTTGCATCCATTTTGCAAACTAAAATCTCACAATATTTTTGTAGTTTTTGTGACTCTTACTAAATACTTTGCTAAAATATTCATTACTTAAATTTCATTTCACTAGAATAATTTCCATTAGTACAGGAAAGAGAATTTAAGTGGAAGATATGAAATTAGAGAACGATTTTATCAAATATTTTTTATTAAAGGTCCTATACAAAATGTATAAAATTTTGTAGCATCATTATCTTTGTTTAGAGATATAAAATCTATGTGATTCCATACCAAAAGGGAGCCATGTTTTCAACACCATAAAAATTTAGATATATATAAAATTCCTTAATGCTCTCTACCTCTTAGAATTATAAGGGCATTTACTATGTCCTAGAACCTCTATGCTATCTATTCCCTTTGAGATTTTAAGGGTTGCCTTATTACTAACTAAGTGTATCATTTTTATCTTGTACTATGAAAGAACACTATTTTTTCCTTAATAGAGTTTCTTTTTTTCTGTGAATAAATCTGTACAATAAATTCCTAAAACTGGAATTCCTATATCAAAACAGTATATTTAAAATTGTTAAAACACATGGATATGTTGCATACCAAATTTATTCAAACACCAATATTGAGGAACATCTTTCTGCCAACATTATTTAAAAATGTTTACTTAAA